TCCTCTCTGTGGCAGCTCCTCAAATATTGGAAGACCGCTATCATGTCTCCCCTGGTCCTTCTCTTTACTAGACTAGCCAAGCCCAGTTCCTGCAACTGTTCGTTGTATTATTTTAGCCTCCAGTCCCCTAATCATCCTAGTTGTTCTTCTCTGTACTTTTTCTAGAGTCTCAACATCTTTTTTATAATGTGGTGAACAAAGCTGGATGCAGTACTCTAGGTGTGGTCTTACTAAGGCTTTATAGAGTGGTATTAGTACTTCCCTTGATCTTGATTGTATCCCTCTGTTAATACAATTTAGGATTACATTAGCTTTTTTGGCTGCTGCTGCACACTGTTGGCTCATAGTTAGCTGGTTGTCCACTAAGACTCCAAGATCTCATAGTTACTGCTATTGAGCCTGGTTTCACCCAGTCTATATGTGTACTTTTGGTTTTTCTTGCCTAAGTGTAGGACTTTACTTTTCTCTACATTGAATTTCATTTTCTTGGATACGGCCCAGTGTTCTAGTCTGTCAAGATCCATCTGGATCTTGAGCCTATCTTCTTGGGTGTTAGCTATTCCTGGCAGCTTAGTATCATCTGCAAATTTGGTAAGTTCCCCTTCTATTCCCTCATCTAAGTCGTTAATGAAGATATTGAAGAGTACTGGGCCTAAGATGGAACCTTGTGGCACCCCACTGCTTACTTCCCTCCATGTAGACTTAGACCCATTAAGGACTACTCATTGAGTACAGTTTGCCAGCCAGTTGCAAGTCCATCTAGTGGTGGTGCTATCTATTCCACTTTTTTCTAGCTTATTAAGAAGTAGGTTGTGGTCTACTTTATCGAATGCCTTGCTGAAATCTAAATATATTATGTCCACAGTATTTTGCTGGTCTACTAATTTAGTCACTGTGTTGAAGAATGAAATAAGGTTTGGCATGATCTGTTTTTAACAAACCCGTGCTGACTGCTAGTTATTACTTTACTTGTTTCTAGATGCTGGCAGATCTGTTTTTTATTATCTTTTCCAGTATCTTCCCAGGTATTGGTGTTATGCTGATTGGTCAATAGTTTCCTGGGTCTGTTTTTTTTTTCCTTTTATGAAGATGGGAACCACATCAGCTCTTTTCCAGTCCTCTGGTAGTTCCCCGGTGCTCCAGGATTTTTGAAAGATATGGTGCAGTGGTTCTGAGATGACCTCTGCCAGCTCCTTTAAAACTCTGGGATGTAATCCATCAGGCCCCGGTGATTTGTTTTCATCAAGGTCAGACAGGTGTTCTCTTACTATTTTTTTGCTTATTTTAACTTTTATTTCTGGTCTGACTTTTACAGTTATGTTTTTGGTGGGTTGAGCTATAGTTTCTTTTTGTGTGAAGATGAGTTAAGCAGTTCTGCTTTCTCTCTGTTGCCTGTTACTTCCTTGCCATCTTCTCTCTTTGGTAGACCAACTGCTTCCTTGATTTTTTTCTTGTTATTTATATGTTGGAAGAAACTTTTTTTTTTTATTATCTTTGACTTTGTTGATGGAGCAATTCTGGCAACTGTTCTGAAATCTAAATGTCTTTGAAATCTATTTTCTCTCAAAATCTGTCTAAATGATGTATATAGTCGACCTTTTAAGATGGGGAGGGAGAAATATTACATTTTGTCATCACCCCAAGTACTTCCACCATTCCTTTTGGAGGGAGGATTTCTGTTTTGCATACAATGTATGTACTGTGTGGTGTTTTCAGTTACAATAACATCAAGATGTAGTGCATGATTGGTTTTATTCTTATCAGGAATCTCCAGATGATCATAGTCAGATCTTATTACATGGCATTCAAACCCACTAACTTCTATCTCTCTTGAGCTTAAAGAAAAGGTATACCATATTAGATATATAAGACTATGAGATGCAGATGTTACATTATGTCATGTGGACTACATGTGGACTGTAGATTCCATTCTGATAGACTGTAGGTATTTCTTCCTGAAGAGCACTTCGCTGCTGAACAGCAGAACCTGGTTAGTTTCTAAAGTGATTAATATGTTTTTATTTACTTAATATAATTCACTCATCTCACCCTTCGCAGTGTGCTGTATGTAGTAATGTAAAGATTATCCATGAGTTCAGCTCCCTGCAATTGGCTTGAACCGCATAGAATAAGATCTGGCTATGTACATTCAATGATTCCTATAAGAATAAAGCAGATTGCTTTGTCTTTTAAATCACCACAGTTTGAATCCAGTACTCCTTTCCTCACCTTTCCCACTGACTAACAGACATCTTCCTTTGTCAATAGAATAGAATAGAATAGAATAGAATAGAATAGAATAGAATAGAATAGAATAGAATAGAATAGAATAGAATAGAATAGAACAGAGCTGTGGTGGCACAGTGATTAGAGTCCAGTACTTCAGGCTACTTCTGTTGACTGCTGATTGTCAGCAGTTTGGCAGTTCAAGTCCCACTCAAGGTTGACTCAGCCTTCCATCCTTCCAAGGTTTGTAAAATGAGGACCCAGATTGTTGGGGGCAAGAGGCTGACTCTGTAAACTGCTTAGAGAGGGCTGTAAAGGCACCGTTGAAACGGTATATAAGTCTAAGGGCTATTGCTATTGCTAATAGAATAGAATAGGATTCTTTATTAGCCAAGTGTGATTGGACACACAAGGAGTTTGTCTCCGGTGCAGAAGCTCTCAGTGTACATACAAGCAACAAGTGGTAAAATCATAATCATAATCATAAAATACAATCATCGTAAATCATAAGATACAACATCCAGTGATAGTCACAGGATACTAAATAAGCAACATAAATCATAATAGGATACTAATAAAAACAATCAACATAAACCAAAAGATACAAACAACAAAGTTACAGTCCTAAGAAGCTAAGGAAATAGATAATAGGAAAGATGAGAAGGATAATAGCAATGCAGCCCTACTAGGTGATTTGACATCCCAGGGCATAAGACAAGTGTTGTGGGAATTAGTTGTTTAGAAAAGTGATGGCATGAGGGGAAAAACTGTCTTTATGTCTGGTTGCTGTCTTGGGGGAAGAAATTGAAACAGTTTATGTGCAAGATATGAAGGGGCTGAAGATATTTTTTCATAGCCCTCTTTTTTACCATGCTTTCTTTCTAAGAATCAGTTGGGTGTTAAAATAAGTGGCACGCCTGCACTGGGAAATTTTAGCTCTTAATGTAACTGTCATTCATGCAGACATAAAGACAAATTTCAATTTGAATACTACATCAGGATGGATTGAAGGCTCTTATGCTTAACAAGCAGAGAGATTTATCTGCACTAATAAATGTCATTTTTTAAAATCTCCCAATAGCAATTTTATACATGTTTTAAATACATCACATACTATGAAGAATTTCAAGTTCCTTCTAAGATGGTTTTTACTAGGCTAGAGGACAGTGTTTTCCCCACTCCAAAATCATATTCTGAGTTGAAATATAGGAATTATCATTTTTATTACCTTGGGTGGAAGTAGAAGACTTATGTTTATGTAGACTAGGGGTCCCCCAACTTTGCAACTTTAAGACTTGTGGACTTCAACTCCCAGAATTCCTCAGCCAGCTTTCTGGGAGTTCAAGTCCACAAGTCTTAAAGGTGCCAAGTTTGGAGACCTCTGAGGTAGACTAACCATATATAATTAAAAAACAAAAGTCAAGAACTGGCAGTTCAAATCTTCATAAACATAATATAGACTTACCATTTTAAATATCTTTTATTAAAATTTAATTCAGCATCATTAATTTTAGAGTACATTCTAAGTCAACAATTTTTATATTCTGTTACCTGATTAGGAGGGGAAAACCTTCCCAATTTGTTCCTGAAAATAGTGGATATATGGTATTTACCTTATAGTAGTTCTTTTTGTTGCATTACAAAAACATTGAAGGATGATGGAAAACATTTTTTTTTAATTTCCTGAGAAAATATTTAAAAACATCAACATCTCTGCAAAAACAGAGATGCTTTTTATTGAAGGGATGTACACGAATTGTGTTTCCATTTACATGTTTTTATTTTAGGAAAGCTGTTCGGTGACTTCTTGAGTTGGAATCTAGAAGATACACTCTCCCAATTTCCTTTAAAGCCCGGAAATGTTGCTGTATTTACTGTGTATATTAAAGTCAAGCTTGATTTCTCCTGTCACGAAAACCTTCTACAAGATCTGAATGATGGTGGGTTTAAAGTTTTATCTAATATCAATAGCTACATTTTAATTTTTAACATGCTTCTCTAATTTAATATACATTATTAATATGAATTTTTATATTTTAGATGTTGCTTTTAGATTTGTTGTTTTAATAGTTTGTTGTTAATCTCTCTATATAAAAGTGAAATACCACTCACGCATCATCACAAAATCTCCAGAACCGTAAAGCCTACAAACTTGAAATTTGGCACATCTGTTCCTCTTGGCTTCTAGGTGCTCACTAAGAAAGGATTTTTCTAAATGACCATCAGAGCCTTAGTATTTCATATATTATTATTAACACGCTCAGATGCTAAGGAGTTCTACTCCCCCTCCCCACCTGAAAAGAAATCTGTTCCAAATGCAAAACACAAACAGGTGGGAAAGGAAAAAGAAAACCCTTGCCCTTTTGTAATAGGCAAAGTTCTTTCCTTTTGTGGATTCAAATTTCCCGGTTGGGAGAAATGCAAAATGATTTGGTCGGCTGCGTTGAAAGTCAGAATCAGTTTATTAATAGGGAGGCAGGTAGGAAATCTCACAGCCTTCCTAGGATTAATCTAATCTTGTGAGTAGAGAAACCCTTTTTTATACCCTTCAGATCCTTTGATTTTGTAAGTGTGAACCTTTGAAGTCTTTGATTTGTGTGTGTGGTAATTGTTTTATAGTAGCTGTTTGTTGCATTAGGTTGCAATATCCTGAGTTTCCTGTTACGCCTTTTGATTTGCTTTTCACACGTTTTATAGCTTGCCATCTATTTGATCCATGTACAAAGCAGACAAGGTTATAATGCAACAACGATCCACTGCTTTTATCATTCCCCCCCACCCAATCCCTATATATATGTCTGAACTGGGAAAACAATCAAGGCTTGATAATTTTCCAAATACAAAGTGTTAGCAACTCAGGACAGTGCACAACAAATGATAAAAGCAGTGGTTTCTCTGTTGCATTACAAACCTTGTCTGCTTTGTAGCTGGATCATGATATTCCATGTTCATATGAAAAGGGTAAAAAATTGCATTCCCCATGGTGTAATCCTGCCACTATCATTTTGATTAAGGCACCCGATCCTACTGAAGCCTCTCTGTAATTCCTTTAAAAAAAATTATGGTTCATTCACACCCAATGGAGGGTTCCATAAAGAGGTACATAAACATCATAGTACATAGTGGGAGGTAACGGACTTCTGTTCTTACTCCTCCTGTCATGTGTGCAGAAAGCAAAAAAGAAAGAGAAAAAAAACCTATAAAACGACAGGATGGACTGTATTTGTCTGCATATTTGAAATCAGCTTCCTTCTCAGCTTGAGTTATGAACTGTTTGGTATTGTACTGTTATAAGCACCTAAATTGCGGTAACTGTGGACTAAACAAGTTATTTTTAATTCCCCCCCAGAACTCTTTAAAACCACCCTAGCCCAGAAATTCATAGTACAATGCAAAGAAATGTTACTTAGGAGAACAGAGTAAACGAGAAATGCTATGCGCTACATTAACTAACATTTCTGGGAGCTGAAAGATGTGAATAATTTTCATTGTCGTCTCCGAAACATATATATGGCTTATTTATTTTAAAACATACACGGTGATTTTCATTTTTCTAAACATGTAAATGGAATTTACATTAAAACAATTGTAACAAGGTCAATAAAACAGTAAATATCATCATGTGTAAAATTAAGAATAATAAAATCCGTGGTTACAAGGGAGGACTGCAGTTAGGCTGATAGGAAAAAACATTGTTTTGCAAATAAAAATCTTTAACCTAAGTCTCTTCTCACTGGAAAGATGATTCTACATTTTTAAAATGTCTTCCAAAATGCTGCCAAGTAAATAAGCAGAAGGCTTTTCTCAGAATGCAAAATCTCAAAGCCTGCCATAGAAGCCGAGACCTTTCAAGCAACTTCCTCTTAAACAGCTTCAAGAACCTATGGAACAAATATAACTCCCAGAACAGGTTGATATGTTATAATTGGTTGCTAGAGTCTAACTTGGAAAGGCTTTGGGGAAAATACAAGAAATATTGGTCCTAGTTTTCCATCCCAGGCAATCGTTAGCTCAGCCAGATTATCCTTACGAGAAAATTGCAATAGCTATGTAAAACTCATCACCCAGGAGGGCCTGGTAACCCCGTGAATTTAGCAGAAAAAGTTTTGGTGAGGTTTCATGATTGCTATTAGTTTCTTTTCTGGAAGGCTATGGTGGCATCACTGGGGCATTGCAGCCATGAATGTTTGGAAGGACTGTTTTGTGCTGTCGAACCTTGGCAGTTCTGTAGCGAAGGGGGTTTGGCTTTTCAGTTGTTCTTTAGCATTTTTTCCCACCTAGACCTGCAAGGTACAACTGCCTGGTCTGTTGTATATTCTTATAAAAATAAGTCCATATTTTTGTAACCCTCAGTTTTGGGATGAAATTCTCTGAAAGTTAGTTGATTGAGCCCATTCAACCTTTTTTTTTTAATTAATTCCAGTCTAATGGACCAATTCAAAGAAACTGTGTAAGGGGTCTTGGAACCTTTTCAGTTGTCCATGCATCAGCAGGATAGTTGTCCAAACCAAAGCAGACCAGGATCGTATTGATGTAGGATAAGAAGAAATGGGGAAATAATTTTTTTTTTCCACTAGTGATTCCTGTAGGAGAGACACTTGGGGAGTGGGCTTCCAGTCCAAGTCTCACTTTGTCCTTCCTCTTGGTCACATGACCAGAGCAGGATTAATATAAAAGAACTGTAGAAGATGTGCTCCAGAACAAGGCTTTGCCTACCTTGTTTAGTTTTCCTGTAACACATTCCTTCCACTGTATTGATGCCAGATGCAAAGAACAAAGAAGGACACTGTGAATTTCTCTTGAGTAGTTTCTTTATTCTGGGTTGCCCATAGGCAGGAATCTTGCCAGACTAAAGCACACCCTGCATAACTATCAGATATACCCTGTGAAAGGGTTAGGTTGGGTTCCTTCCGGGCTTCTTTCTGTATAGTAAAGATTCAAGGCTGATTTCAGTTCAGAATGTAGCTGGAAGGGACCTTGGAGGTCTTCTAATCCAACCCCCTGCTCTAGCAGGAGACCCTATACTATTTCAGACAAATGGCTGTCCAGTCTTTTCTTAAAAGCCTTCAGTGATGGGAGCACCCAATCTTTCTGAAGGCAAGCTGTTCCTTTGCCTCCTTAGGGAAGATTTGGAACTCAGTGTCGGATTCCAACACATTGGCCCAGTGAAAGATGATAGAGGAACAGACCTCCTGAGTTGGTTTTACATTGCTAAGTATACTTTTACATAATAAAGCAGAGAGAAAAACATTTTTCCGGCATTTTCTAGGATGTAATTGAAAAGCTGCATTGCACAGTATCTCATAAACCTGATAATTTCAATAATGCAAGAGAAATACTATATACATAATTTATAAGTTTTCGGTTGGTGCCCCGCAAATTCTTCCAGGCAAAAGTATTATTGTCACATATTGATAAAATCTAATGACTTCATATTTTAATTAAGAGTCGCAGTACTAAATGCATGGTGTTTATTTTCTACTTCACTATAAATTATTTACTATTAAACCAGTATTAATAAAGGTAAGTTAATTACTTTCTTCTACAGTAATGAATTTTAGATTAAAAGTCATTTGCTGTTTGATTGGAGAAGTTAACAAATCTGAAGGATGAAAGTGTATTGTCCTCTGAGTCTGAAGTTTTAGACTGATACAATAATATATATTAAAATAACCCTTGCCCCAAAGAGAAATTATTTCAGGCTATTTGAGGTTTGCTTATGGAAGCCATGCTAATTCATTTGTTTTTTCATTTTATTTATTTGTATCCCACCTTTTATAATTTTTTTACAAATAAGGTGGTGAACGTATCCAACACACCTTCCTTCCTCCTATTTCCCACAACAGCCCTTTGAGGTGAGTTGGGTTGAGAGAGAGTGACTAGCCCAAAGTCACTTAGCTATTTAAGGTAAGGCGGGATTTGAACCCATAAGTTTCCCACATTCTAGCCTGGTGTTTAACCACTAGATTTAAACTGATATTCTATAAATATCCCTATTCAGAGCAGAAAAGGACTGGGCTAGTCTTTGATCTTGCTTTCTGAGCCATGAAATTAATCAATCTCTCTTTCTCTCTTTCTCTTTCTCCCTCTCTTCCCTCCCTCCTCTCTCTCTCTCTCTCACACACACACACACACACACAGGCAGAGAATAACGGCAGATTAGTCCTTCATGTGACTTGTGTTCTTGTATGCTGCAGATTAGCAAATTAGAGAACGTTCACGAGGAACTGGAAAGGACCTTCCTATTCCAGTTACTCTAGGATTGGAAAATGAACTCTGTTGGTTGTTTTCTCTTGGTTGCATTTATTTTTCTCTTTCTCATTGAACAACCGATTCATTTCTGGGTTAGAGTTAGGACTGCTTGCCTGCACTTCATAAGCAGTCAGTTAGTACCAGCTAACTCCTTTTTCTAAGAAGTGCAAAGGAATCTAGCACTGATTGATTTATCTTAATTGGGTTTGTAGACTACTCAAATTGCAAATGGATACAAGTGCCATACATCACAATTTACATCAGTCATGTTAAAACGTAACATGCACAATAAATATCAAAACAAATCAATATCAGATATAGCAACTAATATAACAGCTAGTTGATATTTATTTAAATTGGATCAGAGCTAAAGGTTGAAATCCATTTTTCGCTTTTGAAATAACAGCTATGGTCACCTCTTTTCCCCTTTAGAGAAAAGCTACTCGTTTAAAAGTCAATCATTTTGATGGCATAGCAATAAATATCGGTTATGATATGAATTTTAAAAGGCAGGCTTTTAGTCACTTCTGTAATATGTAGAATGGCAAATTTAAAGTATTATGTAAATCACTTGTAAAATATTCTTGGTATAATATCACATTTATGTTTAAGTATGGTTATTAATATTATGCTATTTGACCAAAATTAATGCTGTTTTACCGGGGATAATTCATACTAATAAATATCCATTCAACATTTATTGTATATTGCATTATTTGGTCACATTTAGACTTAGCATTTATATTACTTTAAAAATATATCGATTTCTTTCTCCTCAATTTTTTAAAAACTGCTTTCAAATAAAGTATTGCCAAAGTATATTATTCCAATTATGAATAAGCTTTGGACATCTGTGCATTTTGTCTTCACATGGTCACATTATGTAGCATGTTTAGTTCTGAATTAGCTTTCCAATCACATTGCAAAGCAAAAGAGCAAGTTATGATTTAGTAGCAATTTGCAATTCTTCCAGCCCTTCTTTTGGTTTTATTTCCGTTCTTTTCAAATTTCAGTTCAAACAGTGTAATCTTCTCTTCTTCACATTATGTAAAACATTCAAATCTATTTGAATCGGATTCCACCTTATTGGTTCTGTTCATGTACCATACTGAAATTATTCAACTAGAATTTAGCCTAATATGTAGTATTTGTTGACTATGGTTCAGTTTATCCTGTGAACAATGAAAATTGAGCTTAGTAAATAAACTATGGGAAAACATACCAGGCAAATACAATCTTTAGATAAGAATCTGGAAAGTATCCTAGAAAATGAAATATAGTAATTTTGACCTTTTCCCCATTTTTGTAGATGGAATTAGTGTGAGTGGTCTTCCGCTTTCCAGTCCGTTTCGACAAGTGATAAAGCCACGTATAGAAAATAAGCCTCTGAATCCACAGGAAGCCACTAAAGTTGGTGACTTCAGCCACATAAAGGTAGGTGAGCAGCCTGTGGATAATCAGTTTTGTAACATATTAGATCAGGAATGGACAATTGACTTTCCCAAGGGGCCACGTGAGAAACTGGGATTGTTGTGAAGGGCTGCCGCTGCCCACTCCTGTCCCCCCGCTTGCGCGTCCATTGTCTCTCACCACCAACACCGCAGGCTAGAAAGAGACAGCCGGAGGGCTAGATATGGCCCCTAGAACAAATACATCAAGGTCTGTATTAAATGCTTTCTGCTACACTGCAATTCATGTGCAATAGAAAAGAAAATATTTAGCTCAACATTGAACTGTGAAGTTGTTGCTACTCTGATTGTGGTTATTTGCTTGGAGACACCTCCTTATTCAACTAGGTAACAACACCAGTACTAGTAGGCGTGGTGTTTGCTGCTTGTTTATATTTATGTACTCAAATTTATACAGCCATAATGTGGGTGTTGATTCCCTGTTTATCAGAGTATTGGAGGGGAATGTATTTCACTCTTTTTTTGCCCCCTTCCTATGATTTTTATTTTCTCTTTTCAATGATGTGTAAATGTGACTTTTATCTATGTGTCTCTTGGTAGCTGATTTGTTTGAATGCCAAATTTCAGGAATTTCCTAGCATTTTTTAATGTGGCTTGATCTTTGCATCTGAATGTCAGGCTTCTTTAGAACTTGTTGTGCACAGTCTCTAGGCCAGGCCTAGTGCGCAGGAAAAGCTAGACTCCAGCTCTCATAAAATAACATATTTTATTGTTCAAGCAAAGATGGGTCCTCCCATAAGGCTGGGAAACGACCACTTACAAAATTCCAGCACGCATTTATACTTCATTAGTTAATCATTAGCTATTTGACATATCTCAAACATCTGTCTTCAAAATTCACACAATTTAACATAGGGACTTATATAGAAATTACTCATGTCAGCCTGACTTACGAATTAATTTGAGTATATATTCATTTTCCTTAACATCTTTTATGGCTAACAAAGTCATAAATGAATATATTTATAAAGCATGGAAATATCTGGAATATCAGTAAAAGATAGTCCACTGTTATTTTGCTTTACAGTGCTTTCATTAGAAATGGTTTCTTACATTGGAATTTCCACCATAGGTCAAGAGTAGAAATACAGATGTAGCATGAATATATGAAACTTGCTGAAGTAAAGCAATCTTGGGGGAGATCATCCATCCATCCATCCATCCATTTTCTATAACCCTTAGAGAGTTAAACATGTGGGATGCAGATTTAAATTCTGGTCCCAAAAATCATGGCTTGTCAGACTAGACCAGGGGTCCTCAAACTTGGCAACTTTAAGACTTGTGATCTTTAACTCCCAGCTATGCTGGCTGGAGAATTCTGGGAGTTGAAGTCCACAAGTCTTAAAAGTTGCCAAGTTTGGAGACCTCCGGACTAGACCCTTAGGTTCTACTTTAGGCAAGGCATCCTAACTCATCGTGTGAAAAGGCTGAAGCCAGCAAGATGGGAATCAATGTCATTGTATCAACAATGAAGTGAATGGTCACTAAAAGAATGGTTGTAAGTCGAGGACTTTTTGAAGGTAGCCCTCATTAAATGACCACTCATCAGTGACTGATCAGTGTTATGATGGTACGTATAGCAATAGCCCTTAGACTTATATACCTCTTCACAGTGCTGTACAGCCCTCTCTTTTTAGCAGTTTACAGAGTCGGCCTACTACCCCCGACAATTTTGGGTCGTCCTTTTACCCACATCGGAAGGATGGGAGGCTGAGTCAACCTTGAGCCAGGTGAGATTCAAACTGCCAAATTGCAGGCAGCTGGCAGTTGGCAGCAGTACCATGCAGTACTGCACTCTAACCACTGGGCCACCATGGCTCATAACTTAGATTTTCTAGAATTTATTTCATCTAATAAATCTATTAAATTCAAATGTATTAAATCTCATCAATTCTTTAAATGCCCAGAAGGGGCATGCTATGGATCCTGTCGGCCAAAAACTTTGGTTGGCACGGGGTCCAGGAGAATGGCCTTGTCTGCTATGACTTTCACTCTGTGGAACATCATGATAGAGCCATGGTGGCACAGTGGCTAGAATGCAGTATTGCAGGCTAATTCTGTCGACTGCCAGCAGTTTGGGTCTCACCGGATGAAGGTTGACTCGGCCTTCCATCTTTCCGAAGTCGGTAAAATGAGGACCCGGATTGTTGGGGGCATATATGCTGACTCTGTAAGCCACTTATGGTAAAGCACTATAAAATGATATCTATAAGTACTATTACTATGGCCACCATGTCCCTTGAGCAGAGGTATAACCCCCAAAGCGCCTCAAAATGGACTCTGCCGATTGGGTTGGGGTTGCAATGCGGGCATCCCTTGCCGAAGGCAATTGATAGAATGAGAAGACGATTCCTCTTCCACCTCCTGTCTATGTAGTGCTTCCTATTTTTAGCCGGTTGTTATTAATTTTTAATGCTCTTGCTTTTAATACTTTCGCGCTTTAATATTTTACGTTGCTGTTTTCATGATGTCGCAAGCTGCCCAGAGTCGCTCAACAGAGAGAGGGGCGCCACGTAAATTTAATAAACAAACAAAATCGATTTATATCCCTCAGGAAACTGGTTTAGCTCATTCTCGGCTTAGGACCGCAATTGAGCCCAGCATGTCCATCGTGAAGTGAAACATTCACTAAGTGAGTTTTGCCCCATTTAACAACTATTTTTTGCCACAGTTTTTAAGCGAGTCACTGCAGTTGTTCAATTAGTCAGTGAACCTGGCTTCCCCATTGACTTCTCTTGCCAGAAGGTTGCAAAAGAGGATCACGTGACCCCAGGAGACTTCAACCGTCGTAAATAGGAGTCGGTTGTCAATTGTGCCTGAATTTTGATCACGTGGCCATGGGGATACTACAATGGTCGTAAGTGTGAATACGGGCCATAAGGCCCTTTTTTCCGTGCCTTTTTAACTTTTTAACGGTCACTAAATGAACTGTTGCAAGTCAAGGACTACCTGTACAGATAGCCCTCCTACAACAGTTCATTTAGTGACTCTTCCAAGTTACAACAGCACAGGAAAAAATGACTTTTACGACCCTTTTTCACACTTATAACCGTTGCAGCATCTCATTGGTCCCGTGATCCAAATTTGGACGCTTGAGAATTGACTCACATTTCTGACCATTGCAGTGTTCAGGGATCACGCCAGAGGTGGTATTCAGCAGGTTCTGACTGGTTCTGGAGAACCGGTAGTGGAAATTTTGACTAGTTTGGCGAACCGGCAAATCCCATCTCTGACTGGCCCCGCCCACCTGTTAGCTTTCCTATATTGCCTTGTTTTTTATCTCAGCTGATTCACGCGGCAGAGCTCAGCTCACTCATCAGCATTCGGACAGCGTTTGAGTCCGCGCATCCATAGAACCGCTGACAGAACCGGTAGGAAAAAGAAAATTGGAAACCCAACACTGGATCACACGATCCCCTTTGGCGACTTTCTAGCCAGCAAAGTCAACAGGGAAGCCAGATTCACTAAACGGCCACGATCCTAAATGAACAACTGCAGTGATTCATAAAAGGTGGTGGGTCGTAACCTGGGGCCAAATTCGCTTAACCCATATCTCGCTTAGCAACAGAAATGTTGGGCTCGATTGTAGTCGTAAGTCGAGGACTACCTGTACTTAATATTCCGGCCCGTCCTGCCCGTTGGCTTGCTTCCCCCCCCCCCCCCCGCCGGTGTGTCAGCCCATCATACATTGGTTAAGGAAGCCTCAGCGGAGAGGGAGAGGGAGGGAGGGAGAGGAGGAGAGAGAAGGAGGAAGAGAGGGAGAGAGAGGAGAGAGAGAGAAGCAGAGGGGGGGAGGGAGAGGGAGGAGGAGAGAAAGAAAGAAAGAAAGATAGAGGGAGGGAGGGAGAGAAGCAGAGAGAAAAAAAGAAAGAGGGAGAGAAGGAGGGAGAAAGGGAGAGGGAGGGAGAGGAAGAGAGAAGGAGGGAGGGAGAGAGGGAGAGGGACGGAGAAAGAGAGAGAGAGAGGGAGAGAGAGAAGGAGGGAGGGAGGGAGAAAGATGGAGGGAGAGAAGGAGAGAGAGAAAGGAAGATAGAGGGAGGGAGAAAGGGAGAGGGAGGGAGAGGAAGAGAGAAGGAGAGAGGGAGGGGGGGGGGAGAAAGAGGGAGGGGAGGGAGGGGGGGAGGGAGGGAGAGGGGTAAAGAGAGGGGGGAGAGGCGTGTCACAGAATTGTTGTCCTGCCTGTCTTGCCTGCGCCGTAAGATGTTCATTTTGAACTACACGGAGGGAGAAATTGAAATTCACCTGATGTGGGCATGAGAGAGAGAGAGGGGGGGGGGGAGAGAGAGAGACAGAGAGACAGAGACAGAGGGCTTCTCGGGCCAAGTGTTCAAACTCAGCCTTGCAGGACTATATTTAGACTGCCGCTGTCGGTCTTGTGCTGTTTTTAAACATTCAGCTGAGATTGCTGATAGGGGTATTTATATCCGTTCTGCCGGTTGCCACCTGCCGCATAAACTCCCTTACCATTCTATACTATTCCCAGAGACCCCACTACGGTTTACCCTGGCTCCCTTCGTTTAAGGACATGGTGATACATCCGTACTCTTTCCGGAAACGTGCATATTAATGTACATTTTTATTTTTATTTTATTTTTAAAATTTTTAATTTTGCAAGGATAACTTGACAGGCAGATTAACCCAGTTAGCAGGAGCCCGTTAAAGCTGTCTGCCTTTTCAAACAGTTTTTTTTCATGTCAAGGTAAAAACCTAAAAGTAGAATGCTTTTTGAGTTATTTATGGGCAGCCTTGTAGGTTTTTTTTTTCCTTCCTTTTTTCCAGAGCTAGAATTTTTATTTGTTTGCCAATTTGGGGCGAGGGGGGGGGAGGGGAGAAGCCCCACTGTTGCTAGGATACAGATATTTCAGAAAGTGAACTTGGCCGGGCAGTTGCCATAGCATTGCACCAAATAAATACGGTGTTATCTCTTTATTGATTCCCCAGATTGGTGTGTGTGTGTGTGTGTGT